AGACCCGGAAACAAGATGCAGAAGCAAATGAACTAAGTCAGCGAGCAGGCTGGTTTGCCAAGAGCGGGAGAATTGCAGAGAAGTGCAAAGGAGATAAAGAGAAAACACTTGCTATCCTTAACCCCTCAGCAGCCGGAAAAGCTACAAGAGGTTTTGAATGCTGACTTAGAAAACGGTATCAGTGAAGACCAGCCCGGTTACCCAAAGGCATAGAAAGACTGTACATATATATACCTAGAACTGTAGCAATGTCACATCTGATACGAATAAAAAATAGTATGGCTTCCTAATACTTGATACGAACTCAAGAAACCAACATTCCTTTTCATGGTTAAGATATTTTGACTACCTTCTCAAAAGCAATTGTCCCTAACATTCTCTGCTGTTGATTCCTGTCCTCGATTGTGTACTCCAGGAGGAGGCCGCATCATTTCTCCATTTTCAGTCTTCTCTGGTTCAGAGACGGGGTTCATCACGGTTGCTCCACGTGGTCAACACGCAAGTCTCCTTAGGCTCTGTTGACAAGTACTACAGCGCGTGCCACGTCCAGGCACTTCTGCAGAATGAAGAAAGGCAGCAAGTACTACAGCGCATGCCATGTCCGGGCACTTCTGCAGAATGGAGAAAGGCAGCTGACTTGCTCTCGGACAAGACGAGCAACACAGATCCAGCTGGCTTTTCTTGGGATTGTTAAGATTTCTCCATCTGAGAAAGGGATTTGCATCAGTACGCTTATTTCCTCTGCTCTAACGGACATACTATGAAACCCAATGAGCAGACATTTCCAAAGACACTGGGTTCCTCTTATGGGAAGCCACTGTCATGAAGTACCACAGGCTCGCTCAGTGTGACATAGTAAAACACCACTTCCATTAGTAATTTAAGTCAACATAAGGTAATGCGGTGTGGTACTGCTTGAATCACCGAAACGATGTGTCATCCAGATACTATTTCAAAATAAAAATGGAACCTTGTCAAATTGAGAGAAGTTGCATTTATTTTCTTTTATGATGGTAAGGATCAAAGAAACTGATGCTAACTGGATAGATGTGGTGGACCTTTCCTGACTTCTGACAGTGACTCAGCCCATTTTATTAACAAGTTAAAGCTAAGTAAACGATGAATCAATGCCCGCAAAGCAGGAAAGAATGCCAGTTTCCCACTAAAAGTCACAAAGTGTGATAAACCTATTTCCGTTAAGAAAACTGCTAGAGTTTTTACTGGGGGATTTCCCAGGCAAACAGAGGCAAAGATACATAAACCAGAAGCGGAAGGTAAGCACATTTCCTCTTAGTGTTTTTATGCTGCACACTAATGCAAACACAGTGCATAATTCAGGGCTGTTTCACGTCACCCTCCTCTCCAAACCCGATCGGAAGAGATAACCTTTCATACCCTTGCCCAGTCCAGTTGAGCTGGCAAAGGAATGGGCACACATCTGGTGGGAAGGGAAAGCCACAGACAGAGAAGGTCCACTTCATTGCTCAGCCACATAAAGTACTGTCACGTCCTTCCCCTTCCTCTCCCTCTTCCCTTCCAGGGTGATCTACATGATCAACCACTGTTGTTACTTAACAAGAGCCTCTGGCTTCTAAACCTCAATCTCTCAGCGATGCCAATGTTGCCAGTCTTCACACTGTCACATGACACCATCACATGCTAGGTGCTTCACCTGCTGTGGTCTGTTTAATCTTAATTCCCCATGAGGTGCAAACAAAGGCTCCAAAGAGGGAAGGGACACCGCAGTCCCTAAGTGGTGCTCCTGAGGAGGAATGTGCCTGTTGAGAAGGAAAAGAGCAGGCAAGTCTCAAGTCTGGAAGGAACATTCTGCACAATAAATGTCTTGAGTTCTTCAGGAACTGTTAATGTCATGAAAGACAATAATGATGATGATGATGATGATGATGATGATGATGATGCTGGTGACTTTCGAAAAGCTGGGGAACTTCATTAGATTCAAGAAGACTAAAACAAAATATGAGAATTGCGATCTTATTAAATCCCAGATCCAAAAATAAAGAGAGAAAAAAGAAACTCTAGCTATAAAGAATGTTATTTACACAATCGAGGAAATTTCATAGTGACTGCATGTTAGATAATGCTTTATTGATGTTAACTTTCCGGAGTGTGATAATTACATTGTGATTATGCAGGAGAAATGTCCTTCTTAGGAGATCTTTCCCGAAGTAATTAGGGTTAAAAGCTCAATGATATTCACAACAGTCTCTCAGAGGGTTTTGGAAGCAACAGGCAAGCAAACAAAGGATCTCTTGAGGCAGAAAGAGAAAGAGAGAAGAAAGAGACAGAAACAGAAGACGGCAAACTATTAACAGTGGGTGAAGATGGATGCAGGGTGTATAGGCGCCCATTGGACTATCCTGGCAAGGTTTCGTATGTTATCAACTTTCACAGGAGGGAATCACAAAAAATTAAAATTATGAAATGAGATAAAATATTAAAAAGAAACAAAGCCAAGCGGCAGGAACACCTACAGAATACAGTCAAACAGCTTTCTGGCATCAGGTGTCTGGGAGGTTGTTAATTCTAATAACGGCTATTTTTCTACATCTATTCTTTTTAGGCTGTACCAAAAGAAGATACGCATTCTCATATCTTGCATTCTCGTAAACAGTGATCATGAGTATTCATAGGAAGATGGGACGAAGGAGAGGAGGTCCCGAGAGATGGTTTCTTAGCTGCACTACCTTGTGGAGTATGGTTCTCAGCCAGGCAGAAGGAAATGAGAGGATGAGGAGCCCATGTCTAATATGATTTAAAACCCAGCTGTGGGGGAGGGGTGCTTGGGTGGCTCAGTTGGTTAAGTGTCCACCTCTTGATTTTGGCATGTTGGGCTTGGTCCTGAGTATGGAGCCTGCTTGGGATTCTCTCTTTCTCCCTTTGCCCCTCCCCTGCTCATGCACACTCATTCTCTCTCTCCCTCAAAATAAATAAATAAATAAATAAATAAACAAACAAATAAATAAAATAGTAAATTAAAAAAAAAAACCCAACTGAATACTACATAAAATGCTGCAATGGATAAGCTCATCTCAACCTTCAGAAATACATCAGACAACTGGCAGGACTGCCTGTCCCCAGTGTCCATGAGCTTAAGAGATGGTTACCATTTGTATTGTTCTGCTGATGGAGCCTGGAGGAGGAGGAGGCTAGGAGCTGTTTGCACTTGACCACGTATGCAGAACAGTTCAGAGAGTGTAACATCTTCTGATCCATATTTCTAACTACTAGACCCATTCACATGGATGTTTTACAGCCACCTCAAGTCCATTTATTACCATCCTTTCTCTTCCACACTCCCCTCTTCTGAACATTCCCTTTGCCTCTGTTAATGGCACACGTTTCCATCTGTGTCTAGAGGTGTGACTCGCAAATGAATCTGGCCCTTCTTCTCTACTCCATATATACGTTAATAATGAGCAGTTCTATCTCCTAAACAATAGCCTTGGATAAATTCTCCATCCTAACCATTTCACCTTAGTTCACGTCCTCACTCTTACTCACAAGAACTCCTGCAATAGCCCCTTTCTTGTTTTTCTTACCTCCTGTCTCTGCTCCCAGCCTCAATTACTCTGCTGTCTGAGGTCCTTCTCTACAATGACAATCTGATGTGTCTCTCTTCTCGTAGATAGGCTATGATGGTTCTTCACTTCCAGTAAGAGGCAAGTAATCCCTCAGCGTAAGATATGTGTCTTCACACGGGCCAACCTACTCTTACCTGACGTCATCAGTCCTGTCCACTCTGGAGAATGGCACCTGAGCATGCAGGGACCTCCTTTCACGGGTGTCCTTGACCCTCTCGTGTCTTGCACGTGTTCCTCTGGCTGCCTCGGATGTGGCTCCCCATTTATCCATCTGGAAAGTCTGAATCTTCCTTCTGTGCCTAGATCACTCTTTCCCTCCCTCCCTGAGGCTGAGTTAGGGACACCCTCCTCTTCTGGCTCCTGTGGCATCACTATTATATCATTTATCCAAAGAGCATTACTATACTTTGAAATCAGGTCTGTCCTTACCACTAAATTCGAAGGGCAGCACCATGTTTTAATAATCTTGGCATCTCCAGTGCTCGGAACAATGTCAGACATGTAGTATTCCACAGAAGTTTATGAAATGGACCGATGTATCGTTACGTGAAGAGTAGGCACACGTAAAAAAATTACATGGTTTATCAGACTTCAAAACACATATTCGAAAACTCATAGACCAGGCCAACACCAACGAAACCACAGATTGCTGGTGAAATCTCAGATTTCCAGGATTGAAAACCTTTGCTCTTGCTGCCTATTGGACCTGTTATTCTGTCCCCCAAACGCCTATGACCCCAGGACAGCACAGGGGTCCCCACAAGAACTTTTTTGTTTTTACCGTGAATGTCTGGGAATAACCTCTATATAGGTCACTTCGAGGCTGCGGACGCATGGAGAGGAAAACAAGAGAAGCTGCGTGCTGTCCACATCACTGGAGGGTTCAGAGGTCCACAGATGGACAGAGCATCAAGATTTTAAAAATTTCTCCCCCAAACTCTTTATGAGGAGAGTATCAACATAGAGTCTTCAGTGAACAGCCATTTTCTGGTCCCAGGCATAAAATCCTGTGCCCGTCAACGCTATACTCTCAGAGCTGATACTGATCTACGTGCTCAAGGCACCACCTTGCACCTAGAAGGCTTTGCAGACTGTGGGGACACTGCCTTAAAGTTGGGTCCCCAAAACAGGCTGGGAAAAGTGTGAAAGATGGAAATTCAGATATGTTTTCACAGCATTGGACACTTCCGTGCCTTCTCATTTTTTCCCCACGGAAAAGACAGGTAATGAGCTATTTGGTCGGCGTGCTTTTTGTATGTGTACTTTTAATATGTCCCCTCTGGATGACCTGACCCACCACCAATGGATGATTAACAAAATTCAGCAACTGTCACAGTGCTTCTCCACGCAGGGGACTTGAGTGGACACACCTACGAGAAGAGAGACGGATGGCCTTACCTGTCGGCGCCCGCATCCACGGCCGTGAGTGGGGGTAACTGGGGGGCAGGGTTGTGGGGGCTCCCCTGCGTGCTGTGTCCCGGTGAAGGGTGAGCGACAGCATGCGGGGCTGGCACGGCCCCGGCGGTGGCTGCGCTTCGGCTCGAGTGATTGCTGGAGAAGATGGAGGCTGAAATCAAGGAGAACAAGCATCAGACCACGCGTGTTTCAATGCCGAAGGCTGACAAAAAAATGTGATTTAGGGGCTTGCTCTCCTCTCGGTGGCTTTAAGGGGATGATTCCTGGCTCACTGGATCTACATAGCTTCTATTTTCATGGTGGAACAGACTCCCTGGCTAACGGGCCCTTCCTGCTGCCCGGGGAGCTCGTGTGCAACTCCACTTCAAGTTCACCGTTTGTCTCCTGAGCGCAGCCTTGCCTTCCCGCCAGCTCCCAGTGTGGACACCATAAAGTCGGTTGATCCTGTAATGTCTGCATCTGCGTGAGGGTGTCTGTATGAGCACTTTTCAGTCACGGGGATATGACAGGGGATAGAACACTTGGTCTGCTGACCCACAGGGGGCAGGACACAGGCTGTCTGCCTCTTCTCAAGGCTGCCACGAGCCTCTGTGGGTCGGGCTGGCTCCCTCTGTGTCCCTGATGAATCAAGGGTAACAGAATATCTCATTCTGGTCCTAGCCCAGGGCAGAATCCGACACTCTCTTAACCCCAGAGTCTAACTGAGCCGGCATTTCCCTAGCGGTGTGGTGGGTGGACACACTTAATCTCCATCAGCGATGAGCCGTGCCTGGCACCACAAACCATGAAATGGGGCCTCTGGGTGCAAAGGCTGGATTTCTTCCCACTGCTGCCCTATTATGACACAGAGGATGAGATGCGGCTTCATCCATAGGGGCAGCCTAGCCTTTGAGAAGTGTACGTGACCCCAAACTTAAGCACGTGCCCATTTAGATCAGCTAATTGGTACGATGTCACAAAAGAGACGGGGCCTGTCACTTTTAGAATCTATCACCATCGCAGAGGCTCTCAGAGTCTGGGACCTACGCAGCAGACACCTCATCACTCTGCAATCAAACTAGCATCATTACGCTGACTCCCTTCAACTTCCTTCTCTATACAAATCTATGCTGAGCTTTCTACCCATCTCCACTCTTTTTGAACTTACTCTACTGATGTCAAAGAATAAATGGATCTAAAAAAAACAGTAAAAGAAATCAGGTTCAGGATTAAGAAGCGGCAGCCACATAATCAGAGATTTGAGGGTTTAAAAGTTCAGGGAGAGATACTTTTAGACCAGTCACACTTTTCTCCAACCTCTTCAGGTTCAAATTAATACCCCAGATGACCCCACCCCCAAAAGCTTCATCCAATGGAACAAGAGTTCAAGTACCTAAAGGAACAGGTGAAGAAGGAGAATTACCATCTTTCCGCTCAAAAGCTACTGACAAGGGTGTAACGTGTGAAGGGTTTATTTCTGGTAAGTCAGCACTGTGCCAGGTTAACTCCTGTCCTCAGAAACGTGCTGCCTCCACAGCCCCCCAAGTTCTGAAGAGGGGGTGAGACTAGAAAGTGCTTACTAGCTCAGAAAGGCGCTGCGCCGCCGTCTCCTGGTGCGTCAGCCTCCGGAAAAGTTGCACGTTTGCAAACTCGCTCGAGTCACCTTATGAATCACTACCCTCATTTGTGCTCAGCTCACTCAGGCAACCGCAATGCTGCTTGTGTTCCAAATAATAATTTTACCCAGGGGAGAAGGCTGTTAGGATTGACTGTGGCAACAGATTCAATGCTGGTGTTTGTCAGCACGGAGCTTAGTGTTTTATATACTATTTCAAAAACTAATGGAATAATAAGAGGTCACGGAGACACTGTGGAAACACAGCTGATTTTTTTTTTCCTGCCTTAGCGTAGACATGTGAGCTCTCCTATTTATTCTGCCGGAGCTGCTGAACGCGCCCATCACTTCAAATCCCCTGGAGGTATTTCTGTATGTACGTGTATGTGTTCGTCACAAGGGAGGCAGAGCCCATGCTGCTTCCAACCCTGTGGGCGACAGGGACGCTTGGTGCATAGTCTGTGCTCTACTCTGTGGCTCAACAGAAAATGCGGTGCTTCCCAGAGGTCTCCACCTAGCCAAATCAGCTACATTTTTGCATTTGCTGCAGTGAAACAGGCTGGGGAATTTAGTACTATTTGCAGCCTGCACTGAAAGTTAGGCCTGGGTGGGGCCTCTCCTTCATCCAGCGGCCAGGACCAACCGCCTGCCATCCCTCTATCCATCTGTCTGTCCATCCGTCATCTAAACTCCATTATTTTCTCTAAAGGGCCTACTAAATGCTAGCCACTTATTATACGCAGGTCCCTAACCTTGAGGAGGCTGCGGTTTAGTGAGAGGAAGACGTCTCTATGCATCGATGCTACCCAAATGCTGAAAACCGTTAGTAGAGATCATGAAGTGGTGTGCCAAGTGCTTTAACACACCTTCTTACCTTTGGTCCCATGGTGTGCCCTACACTCTGGACAAATCAAACAACTGGCCATGCCCCAAACAGTTTCAATGTTCAATATATCACAGCGACTTCTACTACTGTGCTCTTGACTATAATATCCTCTACTTATTTTAATACTTTTGCTCTGAATGCAGTTACCTGTGTTCCTCTGATTCCTCTCTCAGCAGCCAACTGTTACACAGGTATTTATGGAGTATGTATTGTGTGGTGACACCGAGCCAGGTCCCGGGACAGACTAGGGAACAGGACACCCTTGGTGCCTGCTGTCTCCAACAGTATCATTCATGTTTGTTGGAATAGACAAATACGAACACAATCTCAATGTCAGTGGAGTCCATCTGGGGCTCAAGGAGCAGGACAGGAACAGAAGGAAACATTCATCCACCCAATCCCGTTCCTGACTGGTCAAAGGTTGCCCTTGGGTGTCACTTCTCTCCTATCTCCAAGTAGGCACATGTCCCAGAGTGGCTAAAGCTCTCACAGATACCCAAGAGCAGAGCATCTGAGAAAGCCTATGGGCAGAATGCCAGAGACACATGGTACAGGTGAAGGGAGGTGCTTCTAAGTTCTATCTATCCGGTGCCAACGGTTTCTACAGCAGTGGCCGCCGGTAGGAACAGGTGGTGGAGGGGGTATGAGGGCGTGAGAGGTGTATGATACAGGGCAGAAGGCTCAGAAACATGCCCTCCCCCTGTGCTGAGGTCAAGTGCTGGCTGACCAACAGTCAAACACATATCAACAGCCCTTTCTTCTGCTGCTACAGCTGGTGAATGGCACTGAAACAGGCAGGGACCCTTTGACTGGGGACCACACAAGAAAAACAAGGGGGGTGCTTTGGGGTTCAATTTGAAGTCTGAATTTATCAAGTATACAGAATAGTTTCTTACGTTGGTTGTAAGAAATTGCCTCTGAGTAAACCAAAGCCCGTGACTTGCCTCTATTGCCAGATAGAGATGGGATGTCAACAGATGGGATGAGAAGTATGGGACAAAATCTCTCCTGGTGAGGTAGGGAACCTAGTAGAAGTTTCTAGTCCAGAGCCCTTTGTGTACAGTCCCGGACAATACTGCTGCTTGTGGATGCTGCCTGTGACCGCTGTAATGACCAGAGGCTTAGAGGAAGTGACACCAAAATGGCTTCCCAACATTTCACATACCCTTCTGATAAAATGGATAAAACTCTGGAATGAGATAACTGAGGCTCTTGTAGGATTGCCTTTGGCTTCTACCAGAGATCCACATTTCTCAGTAATTGTCACTGTGCACAGGTAACGTCTCCTACTTATACTGACTTCTAGGAATTTCCAGCTCTATCAGTCATGTGTCCAGGCTGCCAACTTTGTATAGTCTAAGAATATCCTTCCTTCCTGCCTGCCTGCCTTCCTTCCTTCCTTCCTTCTTTCCCTCCCTCCCTCCCTCCCTCCCTTCTTTCCTTCCTTCCTTCCTTCCTTCCTTCCTTCCTTCCTTCCTTCTTTCTGAGACAATTTTCTAGCCCCCTACTCTACCTGAGGCAGGTTCTGGTCTCTCTTTAATGTCTGAAGTTGAATATCTGCTGACTTTACACAGAATGTCCAAAACAGCACATGCTTTGCCAAGTGATTTTTTAACCTCCAGAAGAAAATCTCCATGTGAGAGCACAAAAGTAAGGCCATTTAGAAAAGGAAATGTTTCCTTCCATACACACTCAACATGATTTTTTCCAACTCAGCCAATGGGGCATACAACTATTGATCAGAGCATAAGGATGGGAAGTGATCCGTCTAGAATCCAGAACAATATTAATAAAACTGTTGTGATCCGATCAGCTGGTGCACACAGGCTGCCCACGGGGGTGGCCTTCATTGTCCTGAGTCACCACAGGGGTTTGCGCTTTCAAGGCTGGAAGAGGGCTTTTAGGTGAATCTCCAGAAGGCGCTGGTGACTGGCAGCTGGAATAAGTGAATAGGCCATGGCGGAGGAACATACTGTAAATTCTTATTGCTTTTGTGATTAAGAGATGGTAGACTCCCCAAGGAAATAAAAGCCTGGTGTTGAGATGAAGTCTGTGAGCTCTGCCTTCAGCAGAGGACCAGAAGCTGGTCTCCCCACTCCTCTGGGTTCTCTCTCTGGAGCAGAGTTTACTAAAGTCTCCCCACCTGCTTTCTGTAGAGGGGGGCGCAGGTAAGTAGCCCGGCTGGGCTTTAGCGTTCTAACAAAGCAGCATGGGTTGCTCTGTGAGGCGCCCAGATGCCCTCTCACCAGCTACTGCAACCAGGGCATTCGAGGCTTGAGCCTTTAACTAGCTCAGTTTAACCTGGGTTAATAAACAGCCCTCTCTCCATCCAAATGAAAACAATTAACTCTATCTCTATGGGTGCAGACAGGGCACCCTCGGGGATACGTACGCTGCCATGTGTGAATGGAGGCAGGCAAGGAGAGGTACCGAAATGAGGCCAACTTGTTTCAGGCCCTGTTCCCAATGCCACACAAGGCTACCGTGGGCACTGCTTGGGGACTATGTTTTCATCATTTTCGAGGGCAGGGAGGAAGACCTCCCTCGCCAGGCTGAGGTGTATTACAAACAGCCGGCTGGAGGGCATAGTCCTGTTCAAAGCTGTATGGGCAGTCAGAGCCCTACTTTTCAAGCTTCACCTCACACACAGGGCACCGGGTAGAATGCGGAT